CCCCCCAAACCGGGATATGTGCGCCACACTATTGCAGTCACCTAATTGACAGTTGTGCTGGCCACACGTCAGCGAAGCACTGTGAAGGGGCTTCGCCGCCCGCATGGCCGGCGTTGCCATTGCCTCCAGACGGTCACCGTTCCACGTGGCTTGACAGTCACCACCGTCTCTCTCGAGGTTCGGAGGCGTTTTAAAGTCGTCTGTGCGCTGAGCGCCCGGAAGGCTGGGCTCGGGGACTTCCGACCCTCGGATCCTTGGCCAGGTCGATTTCCAGAAGAATCCTGCCGATCTGTAGTCCGGCCGGCGGGCATCAGCTACATTCTCCAGGGCGCCTTCGCTGCCATCGTCTTTCCCGTCACCGCCCTCGTGACAGCGGCAGATGGTTTTGGCCGTCGCGATCCATTTTCCTGAGCGCCGGCAGGATGGGACTTGCCCGTGCAACCACGTCGCTGCTGGCGATGGTGACAGTTATTTACCTAGTGCCGTGTGGCGCGTGTCTCTGAAAACCTCCTTGGGGTGTCACGTGTAGCTCGCCCGGCTCGGTGGTCTGTGGCTGTTCGGACGTGAGGGAAACGTGTGGCAGTGATTTACGACTCCGCAGGTGCCCGCGGCCGGTCCGTGCTGCGCTGCGTCCGAACCGGCCAGTTCTGCGGCAGTGACGGCCCCGACCCGGCGGCCTCTTTTCTCCGTCAGGTCCAGCCAGGGTCTGTCCAGAGCCTCAGGCCGCCAGCCCGTCCCTCCTCCCACTCCCTGCGCAGCCTGTGTCTGGCCGCAGGTGACGGTCACCCTTTCAGGCGTTGAGTTCCAGCTTCCAGCTCGTGCTGTCGAACAAGCTGGCAGAGGGGACTGTACCAGACAAGGATCGACCCGAGCTGTCGAGGGGACGTTGGGTCGCCATAGCACGAGGGGCACGCAAGAACGCTGGAGGTCCCCGCGGCACGTCTGAGTCCCGCCTCGCCCTGTGGTAAAGGCGAATTGGATGCTACGACGCCTGATAGGGGTGCAGCTGGCGGTGGCGCAGAGTGGGGGCGCGACAGCTGTGACGACGGGCCTTCTGGCCTCTGCCAGGCGAGGAAGCGCCCACGGCCCTGCTGCTGCCTCTCAGCCCTGGGTGCACACCGAAGCTATGCCTCCCGCAGGTGGTGGTCGCCGGGCCTGAGCGTGACGGTCGCGACACGGCCCCCTGTCTGCACACGTGGCAGCTTCCTGCCGGCTGTGCCTCCGCCCTCCCGGCCTCACATGGGGCAGCGGCTGAAGGATGAGCACAGGCACCAAGGTGATCTGTGAGCGTCAGCGCGTGCAAACGAGGGTGTGAGCGTGGCTGCCCCGTTCAGAGGTGGCTCTGCCAGACAAGAGGAGACCGTTCACCTGTCCCTAGCCAGTGGTTAGCAGGCCGGCTGCCGCCGGAGGCCATGAAGGACCAAGACAGGAAGGCTGGACACAGGAGCTGGGGCGTGGCCTGTGGACGGCGTGTGGGCACGAAGTGCCAAGACTTCCAGTCGCGTGTTAACACCCAGCAGAGAGCAGGTGCCCAGGGGGAGGGGACTGAGCAACCGAGCGGAAAATGTCACAGCCAGTTGACACTGACCAGGTTCCGTCATTAGCGACACTAGAGCCCCCCAGGATGCAGGACTGAATGGCCAGGACACAGACGGACGGACACACGGGCCCCGCCTTCCCGGTCCTCCTAGCGAACACCGCCTCTGATTGCCAAGCCTCTCTGAAACAGACCAGCAGCGTCCCCTCAAGGACCCAGCCAGGCGCTTGGCAGCCAGTGATGGCAGCCAGCTCCTTGCAGTGGGTGTTTTTTTGGGGCCCACTGTGTGTGCAGCCCCGCCCAGGGCTAAGGGAAGGCGCAACGCCGGGCATGACCCCAGGCACAGCATCCTGCACGGAAGGCGGAGCTCCTCCCGGTGCACGGGCAGCAGGGGACACGGCAGCAGGGGACTCGCCACAGCCCGGCCCGGCAGGGACAGAGGCACTGGGTCCAGGCCGGAGGCGCGGTTCTGGCCGTGTGTTGGCCCGGAGCGGTGTGGGCCCGGCCGGGC